TACTAGTTACTATACAGGAGATTCTGACAAGGTTGAAGTATTTTGGCCAGATTTGTGCACCTTTAGAGTGAAACCTTTATTCCCTGGAGTCATGCATATGTGTGTGCCCATCAGTGAGTGTTGTGGAATCAATGGAATCTTTCTTGGGATTCCTTGGTTTCAGTTATCCTACTCCCTCTTTCAGTACAAGTCGATTTGGCCTGGTGTTTCAAAAGGGACAACACCACAACAGGTGTTACTCTTCTTCCTCCCTGTCCTGAGATGCATCTCTATTGGGTTGGGGGAGTGATTATGGATTCCCAGGATATCATGGTTCGTGGTCTTTGGTCGGCTCTACTCATCAATATTTTGGAGCTTCTTGACATTCATCAAGCATTGGATCATTTTTGTCATGATCCATTCCAACAATTCAACTGTTGTCTCTTACATCACTTGACAGGGGGGACCCATTCACATTCACTTTGTTTTCATTTGCTAGAACTCCTGTTCTGGGCCCATTCACATCACACACATTCTTACTAGCATGTCATGTCCCAGGTGTCTTGAATCTTGTTGTGGATCGATTATCTTAGTCTGACAAGATTATTCCCATGGAGTGGTTCCTAGATTCTCAGCTGTTTCGGTGGTTGTGCACCCAGTAGGATAATCCACTTCTGGATGCATTTGCCATCCACCTCCCAGTTCCATATCCTTTGGCTTTGGTAGATGCCTTCAGTTAGGGTTGGTCCAACCTTTACATTTATACCTATCCTCCTATCTGTCTCCTTCACTGAGTTTTATTCATTATCCAAACCACTCCAGTCCTTACTCTATTTCAGTCATCACCTCCATTACTACTTCCTCTCCCCCACTCCCTGTTTCATCAACCTCAGTTGTCTGTGTGTCATCTTGCCATGACCACACTCATGTCAGTTGTGAGGTGATCTCGACTCTTCACACACGTATCATCCCTTTTTTCCCATTCAGTCCATCTTTTATCCTTAATGGTGTATCAGAGAAATGCTACTTTTTGCTGTTGGTCTCTGCACCTTGGTTATCTCTCTTCCTATTGTAGTGTTCCTTGTGTCTTATAATTATTTTACTGGTTGTTTGACAATGCTTCTTATGTGTCTACCATTGCTGGTTATCGGACAGCCTTGTCCATTACCATACATTTTTCCCATTTCTGTAGTTTTTTCCTCTAACTTTTGTTTCATTTCTTTTGGCTACTTTGTCCACCTTGTCTTACCTTCCCAATTGTTCCCTCCCATTTTCCATATGTATCCTTGGTCTGATCCAGATCATCTTCTCTGTCATGGTCGTGCTCTCATGTGCTATGTTTCCTGCATGGCTTCCTTTCAGGGTTACCATTTCTGCCTCTTTTTCCATTTGAACCCTTCCTATACCTGAGGCATTTTCCATGTCACCCTTGCATGTTGTATTCACCAACTTATTTGTCTAGATCCAAAAATGGTTGTCAAGGCTTGGAGTAGCTACAAATTGAAATACGTGCCAAGATTTTGTTTGACCTGTAAGGAAGTTAACCAGGATCTTAATGATCATTAGTAAAAACACAGTGGTTTAGCAATTCAGTCTTGTTTGCCTACTTCTGTCCTATCATTTAGTAGGTGATGTATCTAATTCACAGTATCGCAAATTGCTCTAAAAATGGGGAATTAATAAATTATGTTGCTTGCTGAACTACAAAACTAAGATGTTATAAAGAGACGATCCGTGATTTTGTAACTTGGCCTCAAAAACTTTGCCCATTACTTTTTCAAAAGGTAGGTCTATTTAAATTGAAAAGGTCTATATCCCTAAGACCTTGACAAAACAAACTTGTTATATTTTTGTCATTCATAATGAAACATGTACATGTACATAGTAAAACTGCTAACTATCCTAGTTTGTTTACAAATGCCTTGCAATGTCCAGTTCACAAAGTGACAAGTTGTATATATTCCTTAAATCCCTAGGCCACTTTTATGACACAGTGATCAGTGTATGCCTAGTTCCAGTTGTATTGTTAAGTTGTTAGCTAACAGCACACCTACTTTGAGCTTTGATGTGCGCTGTAGTTATGGCATGCATTTTTGCATTTGATTTATTTGCATTTTTGCCAGATATGTAGAACATGCCATCCATCGTGGCCAATTTCATGATGTATTATCTAGCATAGCATCTTTGGATAATAAAAAATAATGATAATCGGAAACACTAACTTCTATTTGTTGATTATGTGCACGAGTCAAAATATTGTTTGATTTACCTGAGCAGTCTTGAATTAATTGAATGTACACAGGTCAGACTATTGACTATGATTTTGAATTTATTATGGGTATCTACAAGCTCTTATTAAAATCTACAAGTCTGTTGTGCATAAAAGTCAGGTGTGTTACAAAAGTATTTGTACTAAAAATGTGTCCATGAATTGATGATGTTTCTCTGACTAAGACTTTGATGAGTTGGAGTTCAAGGTAATGTTTATGATAAGAATAAAATGACTTTTATCCATTGTAAAGTTTACATATTGTATATGCACAACCCCTAGAACATTTAAAATGCACATCTTCTCTTTTTTTTTCAGTATCCCTGTATATTGTATCTGGTATTTACTCTACCACGAATTGTCACTAAATCAGCAGTGTAGGAAAAAATTAATAGTTAATAACTGGCTTCAAATACATAATACCAAGTTGAATGGTACTCTGTGAAAGATCATGACGTCCACTCTCTGATCCCCACTCTTGGACAAAGGGTTAATTGAAAATAATAATGAGAAGCCATGATGGCAATGTTTTGAATACTTGGATGGTTGGAATATTCCAAAACAATAATCATCAAAAGTATTAATTTTGATTAGTTGATTATTTTCTTGAATTTAAGACATTTAATTGTGATTTTGATTAATCAGTTATTTTATTGGGCTCTAATCAATGTAATTGAAGCTGATAGATAATTGAGTAATCTAGTTAATTGCCCAGCTGTGGTGATAGTTGACTTTGTTTGTGGTTCATCTCCATCTGTCTTTGGGTACTTAGGCAGGATCATTGATAGCCTCAACAGGAGAGCATCAAAAAAAACTTAGAAATGATTGTTGTTTACCTTGTGCCATGCTGTCAAACATTTCTAGAGCAATAAGCCAACATGTAGGTTCATTTGTGTAGAACACTTAATTTTAAGAACAAAAACATGTGACAAAATAAAACCAAACACTTAATGGAAAATCATGCTTTACTTTACCATACAGCATACCTATAGTTTTGCTTGATTTATAAAATATTTTAAAATAAACAGCAGCAGAAGGCCACTAAACTTGGGGATGATAGACAAATTATAGGTATAGTAGTTTACATCAAACAGTACCTTACAGTCAAAGAATATGAACTGTGTGATGCGCAACAACAACAACTAGTTTATGCAGAACTCTGCACAAAAAAAATCATAAGCAATAAACTTTGCAACCAATTTCATAAACCAGATATTGGTTGCATGTGTGTGTTACCTTAAGTTATTTTTGTTTCTTGTTTAAGATGTGCAAAATTATTTACTAAACTTCAAGTGCAATTGTTAAGAAAATTTAAAGAAAAAAGAAATTATGAGGTGTTATACTACATACATTTCCTGTATACAACAGCTTCAGATGTAAAGGAAACACAACAAAATATGTTCTTAGATGTTATTCTTATGATACAGTTTCTTGGAATCTGAATAGTTACAAAAATTGCAAATGTGTTTTTGTGGTTTGACTTTAAACGTTAAATACGGAATCTAACAAATTGATGACTTAGTACTTAAAATCTAAAAATAATATTAATACTTATTAAATATTTGTATTTTTATTGAATAATATTTGTTGTTTCTAACTGTGTGAAGCTTATTGAAATACTGTGGTAAAAACACAATAGGCCACACTCATTAGTTTCACAAATAAATGTATATACATTCATTTATTCTCGAATACTGTTTCTAAATGCCTGGAACTTAGAAAGTTGTGTATTACATGTGAACATGTTCTGTACTGTTATTTTTTATGTACATCAACGATTACCCACATGTTTATTTTTGCAATTTGATCTTTGATTCTCATTCAATTGTTCTAAAAAAATTTGTGAATAATGGGAACTTACTTCCCATCAGGAATGTAAATTTGTTTGTTGTTAAAAAACACATGGGATGTTTTCTGTGAGCATTATGAACTTAACTAAATTCTGCAAATAAACTGTACAGTGAAAGCTTATCAAATTCTGCTGTGACTGAAAAATGAACATAAAAGAAAGTACTGTTACAAATGGTGCAATTTTTTAAAGAACATTTTATAAAAAGGTGAATTTAACCTTTTTAATATGATTTATGAATTACTGTAAGAGATGATAATTCCTAACCTTGTAAATTCTCTTTTTCTGGAATGAATACTCTAGAAATATACATGTATACAAAACTTCATATTGTTAATTTCATTGACAATTTTTACATAGTTTTGGTGAAAGTGTTTCTTTTTAATCTAAAGGAACACAAATCATTGAACAGTTATAATTTGTACTGTACTTATGTGCATTTTATTGTTAGCCCATTTCCAAAGTATGGTAAACTAATGTTTCCAAGTTTATTTTATTTTAAAGTTAGTGTGAAAATATAAAGGCTTGTAATTTTTATACCTTTGGCTTATGCTAACTAAGGTACATTAGTTACTAATGCTGTACAAGTTTAGAAAGTGAACAGTAATATAAGAATGAAATACCATGCTTACTTTTTCATGTAAATTTTTACTTGTGATATCACTTAATTCTAACATCTTATTTTTGAAAAACAAAATTAAAAATTGTTGTAAATGGGAATAGAAATCTATTTAAACACAAATATTATTATGAATTATATTTAGTTTTGACCACGAAAACAGCCAGACAAATAAATAGAAAGCATATAACTAAAATTGACAATCACCAATTACTAATCATTGAATGCAAAGCTATGTGCTAAAGACATAAAATTTACTCCTGGTTTGTTTGTTTTTTCCACAGCAAAGCATATTAAGTATTCAAACTTCAATGGCCACCACAAACTCTAGTGGTCCTGTTGTAACCCTCCAGGACTTAAGTGAAAGGAGGGAACATGTTCAGGATGGAAGTGAAAGTGGAGAGTCTTCTGGTATATGTAGTCATTTAAGCCATTTAACATCTCCAACTGTTTTGGGAGATTATCGTACAATTCACAACTCCAGAATGCCTGTCCTTGGACCAGGTAATCATTTTTATCTTACATTTTTTAATTATTATTAATATATTTTTTTTTGCAGATGACAGAAAATACTTTACTTGAAATTAAAATGATTATAGTACAAGGAAGTTTGACAAGATCAGTGATCAAAAATCAGTATCAAACACCATTTAAGAATCTCAGGTGAATGGAAGAATGGTGTTAAATTTTGTCTGGAGAGGGTGCTCTTGTGCACAAAAGGTTTTTGCATATACAACTAAGATGACTACAAAAAGTTATTTAGTTATTTTTTTATATTAATCAATTATTCCAATACGATACTTTACTTCTGCTCACATAATAGCTTTTTTCGTTCAATGTTATTCTCTGTATGCACAATTTTTGCTCACCACTAACCTTGATATTCCCACCTACAAGTAAGCATGCAACATATCCTGGTGCAACTTCCTCCCTCTATACTGTAAAGCCCAATCTTCACTTTTCAGTTTGACATAGTGTAGTGCAGACATATCTAACTTTAACTCACTTTTGCTTCAGTTTTTTTATTTCATGATTTGTTAAATGACTAGCTTTTTTTTGTTAACAGTTTTATTATTATTTTTTAAATGAAACTAAATTTTGTAGGTTGATTTCTAAGTTTGAATTATGAATACTGAATTTTAAATTATAGCAATTATTACTGTTGTTACTCCTGCTACTGCACCTCAACCTGCAGTATCTCAGGTCTGTGCTCTCCTCCTGCAGCTGGCAACTATTCAGTCGAGATGAGTACACCACAACTCCTCCTGCACTTCGTAGCTGTTCAGTTCAGTTGAAGCATACACATTACACAAATCAGGCTCCACATTTTCTGTTGAGGAGATTTTGGTTTTGATACATTGCATGTTTGGGTCCATTATACAGCCTGCTGTATCTCTTTATACCAGACCAGATATTCCTTTTCCTGGTGAACATGGACAGAATGACAGGATTTAGATAGCTTGTTTCCACCCCTTCCTTTGCTGTGCCTTCCTGAATTCAACTTACAGAAACTCCCAGACAGTCTACACTTCCTGGATATAGTGTCACAGGTATGCTACCTTTTGTCTATATCCTGTGTCTTAAGATTCTTCCATAATTGTACCCCTTCCTTGAATCACCTAGTTTTCCCACTCTCTCTAGCTATCAGGATACATGGGGTCAGTATATCCTCATCCCCTCCTCTCATACATTAGATTCCTAGGCATTAGCATTTCATCATTAGAATTTACCTTTTCTGGACTGTCAGGCCTTGAAGTCTTTGATTCAGGTGTGAGGGATCTGACCCAGATCCTTTTGTGAGATTTTCCCCAAGCTCAATTTTCCCATCTCTGTTTGACTCTAAGTACCCCACTGCATTACTTACCATCTTCCATCTCCTATCCGAAACTATCCACTGATCCTCAGAGGAATTTTTAGAGAATACTCACTTTCTTATGTATTCCACATTAGCTTGCTTGTTTTCCTCAGCCTTTTCCAAAGAAACTTGATTCCTCTGGTGTTGGGATCTCCTGGGTGGGGATTCACTCTCAGCCAATGTGTGCTTACCCACATCTTATTTATGGAACTTTAGTATGGTTACGTTTTTACACAAGATGGTTTTTGGAGATCTTCCTGATTCTTTGGAATCCTGGGAAGAGATTGCTTTCAACACTCCTCGCTTTCATTCTTGGTCTCTTGTCCTTCACAGCTTTCATCTACTCCCATTCCTGCTTCCCACCCCACTGTTAATGGTACCAGTGAATATACAGTAGGTTTGGGCAAGGTCAGAGCATATTTGGTCAGGTTTTTGCATCTGTGGAGCAAATTCACCTCAGATCCTTGCGTGCTTCAAGTATTATCTGAAAGACTTTCCCCCTTCGTTTTCTTACTCCACATCTCTTTCCATTCCCTTCTTCTCGGGATGCATTTTATTGCCAGCATCTTTCTCAAGTGGTTTGATCTCTTCTTCTCAAGGACACTATTAAACCTATCAGTCAGCCATCTTCAGGGTTCTGTTCCAGAGTGTTTGTAGTTCATGAAAAAATCAGGGACTGGCATCCTGTCATAGAATTTTTCAGTCTCAACTGTTTCATCGACCTCCTTCCTTTCACCATGGTATATTTCCTCACTCTTAGGTGGGTGTGTACTCTGGGTCTTTGGATGCCAAAGGTGAATGTCTTGGTTGTTTACCTTCACATCCAGACATTACCATCATTTTGTCCACAGAGGTCTAGTTTATCAATTCCATGATCTTTTCTGTGTATTCTTTTGGGTAGTCTGGGACTTCTTTCTTCTCATTATCTGCAGTTCTACCATTATATGTACGACTGGCTGTTTCTAGCTCCATCCCAACAAACATCTCACTCACACATAGAGTTACTTTTTTGTGAGGCAGCTTATCCAGGTTGTGTATGAAGCTGGAGAAGTCTTTTCTTATTCTGACCCATTTCCTTATCCACTTGGGAGTGTTCTTTAACTCCTGTCTCAGTTGGGTCCAACCTTCTCTTCTTTGGTTGAAATCGATGGAGCTATTAGTTTTCAAAGTTCAATCCTATCATTCTTTTACTGAACATGAGGTTCTTTCTCTTTTGGGGACTTAGGTTTCCATGTGTGCTCTTCAGTGGGTGTTGGCGCAATCAGTGGAATATTGCTTTGGATCCCCTGGTTCTAGTTATTGTACTCCCTCACTCACTCACTACAAGTTGATTTAGCCTGGTAGCTGAAAAGGGACAAAACCAAGGCAGGCACTCCTCTTCCTTTTCCCCATCCCAAATTGCATCTTTTTTACAGATGCTTCTCTGTCAGGTTGATGCCTCCCAGTGGTACAGTGGTATGTCTGCAGACTTATACCACTGGAAAATGGCTTTCGATACCCATGGTGGGCAGATCACAAATAGCCCTTTGCAATAACCTTGTACTTAACTACAAACAAACAAACTGTCAGGTTGGGGAACATTTATGAATTCCTAGGAATTCGTGGGTTGTTGGTCTTCGGTTGAGTCAGCTCTGCTCATCAATATTCTGGAGCTTCTTGCCATTCATTTAGAGATGGATTATTTCCTACCTTTGGTACGAGGTCATGATCTATTCTAACAATTTGACTGCTATCCCTTACATCAGTTAACAAGGGGGAAACCTCTTCATCTTCACTTTGTTTTCGGATGTTAGAATTCCTATACAGAGCTCATAGACTCTACTTCTGGACACCTTTGTTACCCACCTCATTTCCAAGCTATTCATCCGTTGGTCCCCTGTTCCACATCCTTTGGCTTTGGTGATAGATGTCTTCAGTCAGGATTGGTCCAACCTTTATCTTTATGCCTATCCTTATCCTTCCCAAGTTTTATCCATTATCCAAACCACACTGTGTTGAGTCTTTTTTGCATCTTTCTGACCTGCTCAACCTTGTTATGGGTTTCAGTCCTTACTGCATTCTATTTATCATTCCAGTACTCTCCCATTCCCTGCTTTGTCAACTTCAGTCATCTGCATGTCATTCTGCCATCATCACACTCCAGCTATACATGTGGCATTTGTCCGGTCTCTTGCAAAGTGGTCTGGACTCTCCACACACTTATCATCCTTTTTCCCATTCAGTCCATCTTTCATCCTTAATGGTGTATCAGAGAAATTGGTGCATTTTTTTTCACTGTTAGTTTCTGCACCTTGGTTACTATCCTTCCAGTCCTAGTGTTCCTTGTTTCTCATAATTCTTTACCTGGTTTATTAACAATGGTTTTTCTGTATCTACCATTGCTGGTTATCAGGCTTCCTTATCTAATACCTTCTGTTTTTCCCATTCTTGTATAATTTTTCTTCTCATGTTCTGTTCCTTTTGGCTCATTTGATCATCTCGTCCTACATTCACACCTTTTCCCCCTCTCTTACATTTCCCATTTGTATTCTCACTCTGGTCTGGATTGTCTTCTCAGTCCTGGCCATGCCCACTGGTGCTTTGTTGCTTACATGGCTTCCTTATGTGGTTAACTTTCTGCCTCTTTCTCCATTCATACCCTTCCTCTACTAGAGGCATTTCCTCTCTCACCATTATGGTTGGTTTTGCCAACTTATTCGGCTGGCTTATTCTTCCATGTCTTATGATTCCCAAAATATTTTCCAGATATCCTTTCTTCAGATTCAGCTCCTCACTCTTTCCTTGGCTGACCAATTCTGTTGCCCATGGAAAGAGATCATCCAAGCTGCATGTGAACCACACTACACACCATTGTTTCTCATTGTTCATCATGTAGTCTTCTCCTCCTCATCAGGATGCTAAGTTTCCCCGTTGCTATCCTTCACACCTCAGTTCAACTGTGAGTGGGTAAGTAATTTTTCTGTTTCTTTATTTTCATCACAGGGGCACATTTTACATGTTGGATCCCACTCAGTGGCAAGCTATTATATTCCATAAATCTGCAATGTACAGTCGTTAAGGTCTATGACATCCACTGTTGAGATGGGGTACTCCAGAAGACTACACGTTCATCTTTGCAGTGTTTTGCATTATAAATATGTCAGTCCCAAAACATACCAATTCATGGATTATTGTGTAAAATAGTGTTGTGATCCATCCCTCCAATCCTGATTTAATAAATCGGGTCTGGCTACTTTTAGAAACAAGGTTTCATGATTGCCCATTGTACTTTCTCCGGTTTTGCATTCCTTTAGACAACCTACAGAGTTGTCCCCCCACCCCCTCTCCAATTGGAGTATGGGAGACCTTGCCACTTACCAGCTTCTGTTCTCTCCCATTCAGTTGAGAGTAGGGTGGTGGTGTTCTGCCAGTGGAGTTGGTGTGTACTCTCTCCTACTATAGATCTGATGTATAGTTCCAGATGCCATCTGGTTTTGGACTGGATGAATCTGCCACATGCAGTTCACCCCTCTGGCTGGGAACCCTCCTTTCTACTGCTGCCTGAATGTTGGTTCCTGGGTGTGTTAGTGTTGGTTGGAGATGGAATGGCCAACATAAGTCCTCACACGTGGTTGGGCTTGGATCCTCCTCCTACTGCAGATTAGACAAT